TGCCAGATGCTAGATTCAGACTCTGGAATCCCTTTTGTGGGCAGACTCTCTACAGCCCCAGCTAGATGGACAGGCACCGGCAACTGACTCCTCCTGCATCTTAGATTCTCTCCTCTGGGTTTCAGAGTCTGGGCCTGGAAATTAGCATGCCTGGTTTCTAGACTGAGTCCCACCAAAGCCTTCAAAGAGTTCATAACTCCCAGTTTTTTCATAAAGATGAGAAGAATTATTCACAAGCAGTAACCAACCCACAGGATGGCACTAGGGTAATATTAAATTATGAAAATCAAAAAAGACTATAACCTATATTTTGGTTTGATTATAATGGAATGTAAGCCAGACTGGTTGAGTTCACACAAGTGTCTAAGACAGTAATAATAACAATACCAATCTTTACATAGCACTTACTGTATTACTAGAACTTAGTGTTTGTGATACTTAGAATAATGTTGAAAACAACCTATGGGATATGTACTATTGTTGTTCCTATTTTGCAAAGGAAATCAAAGTTCAGAGATATTGATTAACTTGCCCAAGTTCACACAGTAAGTGATAGACTCAAGTACAAGCTCAAGAAGTCTGGCTCGAAAGCCTGACATTTTTAACTACTATTTGATGATCATTTCTCTTGCTAAAAGATAAAAGAAGTGAATAACCAAAGTTCCCAGGGTCATGGCAGATGAGACAGGGGTGAAGAATCATTTTACATATGACCTCCCTCCAAAAAAAAAACCAGTATAAATAAAACAAACTTCACAAAAGAAATCAAGAACATATTCCCTTTTGCAAACTTCCTCATAAGTTTAAAGACTCAATTAACAATAAGGAATTAGTGTCTGAATAGGAGGTCAATATTTCTTGCTTTAGGTCTTTTACAGCAAATATAAAGTAAAATCTTAAGGAGACAAGATGCCAAGGACCGTGAGACAGATTGTTATAAGAATGAACGGTGCCGCTACATTCACACCTCATATAGTTCTCTATCACATTTGTTCTACATTACTCATGTGGCTTACTTTGGCCATGAGTCATCAAGACACATGTTACAAGTATGACTTGAGAAGTACTTATACAATGGGGCTTGTGTTCTTGGAACAGTCCTTCCATGTGCACCATCTAAGATGCCCTTCCTTATATGTCTGGTGTGAGTTGTTGACTGAGCTACATGTTGTTAACAGACTAGCACAGACCAACAGCTAGTGCCAAGCTTCAGACATATGAGCAAGGCCATCTTAGACCACACTCCCAGTCAAGCCTGCAGATAATTAAACCTACATGAGTGATCCAAGGAAAGACTAGCAGAAGAATCATTCAGTTGAGCCCTGATCAAAGAGCTGATACACAGAGTTGTAAATAAATAAAATATTTCTGGTTTAAAGCCACTAACTTTTGGGGTGAATTACTATGCATCAAAAGCTCATTGAAAGAGCCCATCTAAGGCATTTCATGAAGGAGCAATAGCAATATGGAACCCATACATTGTTGAAGAGCCTGGAGCATTCTTACAATTAGGTAGGAGAGTCAGTTGGCTGACAAGGTAAAGTCAGACATGTTAGGTAAGAGAATAGCATTTAATGTTATTGCCAGCTTGTACCTATTTTTCATTCTGTAACTTCTGGATCAAGTGGATAGGAAGCTGATCTTTATTAAAAAAAAAATAGAACAGAGAAGGAAAAAATGAAAAAAGTCATGCTGCAAATCCTGAATGAATCAACTACTGGCTTTTTTTTTTCTTTTTTTTTTTTTTTAATCTTCAGATAATAACGTACACTCCAACAGCAGTGATGTGGTGTATCAGGTTTATAGCTATACAGTGCCTTCTGTTTCAGGCCATTAGCATTGGTCCATCAGCACTACCGTTGAGTATTAGAGAAGTTGAGGCTAGGGTGGAAAAGGGACTTAATGTTTCTGATACTTAGAATAAATATCTTAGAATAAGTTTCTCAACCAAAGACAGAGAAAAACTCTTCATACCTTGGAGCCAGAAGGTTCACGGATCTCTGATAACAGCAATACTGACATTAAAACCATCATCCGCGCCAGTTTATTTCATGAGAAATGGAGGCTCATAGAGGATGACTTATTGATGGCTACATAGCTAAATATGATTAAGGTGAGCATGAACCCGAGTTCCTGGATTCTACTATTACACAATGACATGAGACACAAGACATGAGCATAGGGAGGCCAAGGAAGAAACCCTTTCACCCAAATTCTAGTTTAATAATTCTTACATCCTTCATTGATTTGAGAATATTATCCAAATGATCACCCAAGCCAGCCAAGAAAATTGTAAGACACACTAACTACAGTATTTTTTTTAAGTTGGAAAATTTAATTGAAAAAAAAAGATCTACCAAATTTTCATTATGATAAAGACTGTGAACTTACTTATAGGCCTTCCCCTATTACTTCTATTAAAGTGCTGATTAATAATGGTCACAAGGAGCATATTTACTATGAGTGTTTGCGTCTCCCCCAAATTCAGATGTTGAAACCTGAGTCCCCAATGTTACGGTATGTACAGATGGGGTCTCTGGGAGGTAGGTAATCAGGCCATGCAGTGATAGAATTAGTATCCTAAGCAAGAAGAAATCAGAAGGCCTGCTTCTTCTTTCTCTCTGCCATGTGAGGCTACAACAAGAAAGTGGCATCTCTAAGAATCCAACAATACTGGCACCCTAACTTTAGACCTTGAGTCCACAGAGCATGAGAAATATATTTGTCTTTTAAGCCACCCAGTCTGATATTGTTATAGAAAGGGCTGAGACAATATCTTATAGAAGAAAATAATAATTTATGGCTTGACGTATAACGGTGTAAATGTTCCTGCAGGGCCAGCAGGTGGCCTGGAGGTTAGGTGACTGGATCCCACATGGCTAACTGCATGGTTCAAGTCCCAGACTCAGTGGCCTAAAAATATGCCAGGCATTGGAGCCAACATAAGATGTAGAGATTATGCCACTGGACTACCACATGGCCAACTGTGATTCAAGTCCCAAACCTAGAGGCTTGAAACGCATACCAGACACATGTGCGTTGATGGCCAAGATCTCAGGAGAAGAATGGAGGAGAAAGGACTGCAGTGAGGCCATTTCCCGAGTGTATGTGTGGGGGGTAATTTCTCACTTTTCCTCTCACTATCTGTCTCCCTCCCTGTGGTGAGCACATGTGCCCTAAGGCAAAAATTTTTCAAAAAAAAAAAAAAGAAAGGGGAACCAGCAGTTGGCGTAATGGCTATGTCACTGGACTCCCATGTAGTCAACTGTGGTTCAAGTCCCGAACACAGAGGCTTCAACTCATGCCAGGTGCATGTGTGCATGCCCAAGTTCCTGAGAGGAGAATGGAGGAGAAGGGATTACAGCGTGGCCATCCCCCCTGGAGGGTGATTTCTCGCTTTTTGTCTCTCTGTCTCTCTCTGTCTTTCTGGCGAGCACATGCACCCTATAGCAAAAACCTCTCAAATAAAAAGAAAGGAAAAGAAAAAGAAAAAGATATAAGGCACATGTGTGTGTGTGCCTAAATCCTGAGAGGAGACTGGAGGAGAAGGGATTGCACTGTGGTCATCCATCTTAGGGGGTCATTTCTCTCTTTCTCTTTCTCTGTCTTTTCCCCCTCTCTTCCCACAAGTACATGTACCCTTACAGCAAAACTTTAAAAAAAAAAAAAAAAAGCTTTTACAAATCATTCTTAAAAGCTGATATATATACACACACACGTTAAAAGTAACATGTATGCCTGCTTTTATTTTATACTCCAAGGGAAAATTCTCTGGGTCCTTTTCTATTTCTGACTTACTGTGAGGATGTGAACAACTGACTTAATTACTCCAGGTCTCAAATTATTTCATCAATAATACAAGGTGATTGGACTTATTTGATTTTATGTCTGAAACAACACAATGAAATGGAAAGAACTTTGGATATAACTGAGTTGAGACTAAATTTTGATCCTAGCACCTTGCTGACATCTGGCTATGGGCCTACAACTCATCTTGCTAAATGGAATGACCACACCTTTCTCATAAGGTTTGGTAAAAAAAAAAAAAGAAAGAAAGAAAAATGCTACATATAAAGCAGCCAGCACGGTGCCTGATCCCTAGGAGTGCTCCATAAAGAACAGCTAACGATGATGATTCGTTCATTCATCCTGCAAATATTTACTGAACTCATATTCTGTTCCAGGCATTATTCTATGTGTAGTATAAAAGAGTTAACAAAACTGACAACGAGGTGTACCTCACTGAGCTCACATGGCTGCCCCACGGTTAGAGCACTGATCCACTGGCACACAATAATCCATAACTGTAACCATGGAGCAGCCACGTGCCACTGGACAGAGTCCCTGATGCATTCTCACCATAGAAAAGGCTGGATGGGTCCTCACCTTCCTCGGGGACTGTGCACCATAACGGGGCTCTCTCATCACCAGTCTAGCGTGGTACACACCAGGGAGTGTGGAACTGGGCCTGGGCTTCACGTCTATTCCCCCTTAGTATCCTCCTCCTCCTCTCCTGCACCAGAAATGCTCCCAGCAACTGCACCCAGGCCTTCCAGACACCTCCAAGGTGGCCACGCTCGCTTAGCGGCATTACTCCCAACTTCCCACCAGAGGTCGCCCTCTCACACGAGCCCAAGCAAACAGAGCTGGCTCTGCCTCCTCAGCAGCAGTGACATTATTTTCTTTCTCTATTTTTATCTATTAAAAAGATTTCTTCACAGCCATAACTTAGATCTCTACACTAAAATGGAGCAACAGGAAGATATAATGGTGCATTTCATTTATGAATGACCTATAATAAATTACTCTGAAGTGTCCCTAGTGCCAGAAGACAGAACGCTTTGTCTGCCCATGGACTGTATTTCACATACTTTAATTTAGCTGACACATAAAACTCATTTGACATTTTGCAGGTATTTGTGTGGGGTGGGAGAGTGTTGCGGGAGGGGACAAGTGTGTGCTGGGTGGAGAGTGGGGGCAGCGGGCGGCCAAAAGGATATTTGGTTCTTGTTGAGGGTTAAGGTATGGAGCCTGGGTAACCCTGGCAACACGAGGTCGTCCCCGAGCAGATTGTTGTCCAAGATGAGTTCCTCCAGGCCTCTGAATGTGCTCAGTCCTTCCAGTGACCTGCAATGACAAAGGCAATGGAAAAATGATCCTGCACTAAATCAGGGAGGCCATTATGAGCCGAAATAAATATTTTAACCTTCCCTTTCAGGACTGGGAATAGTTTGGGCTTGGTGCCTGTCAGCAAAGTGAATGACAAGAATTAGTAGCGGGAGCCGGGGTGGGGGCGGCGGGGGAGAAGGGGCCGCTGGCACTCACCGCATCCTTCACGCATTGCCAACATGAAGGATGAGGGTCACTTAGTGAGTAGCCAGGATCCAAAACAAAGGGCTTCAGATACGGCCTGCAGGATAAATTTGTCAATGTCTTGTGCCTTCAGGCACCCAGCCTCGGCTGACCCTAACCTCCATTCCCAAGATAAATAACTCTGTCACAGTTCACCTTCATTCCCTGGACACAAATTTAAGTTGTCATCCATCATTCCTGCCCAGAAATATCATACCCCTCTTACAATAATAAATATAACTTCAAGTATCATTTCTTAGCCGTTCTCCTCTGTACACTCATAGGGGGAGCAGCAAGGAAGGTTCCTTTTCCTTCTCTCTCTCCCTGCTCACATCCTTTGACTTTTTCTTCCCCTCTGCCTTTTTTTTTTTTTTTTTTACTAATCACTTAATTTGTTTCTGCCCAGTGTCACTGGCTGCCCAAAAGCCAAAGCATCTGTGGAATTACATAATCACTCCCATCGGAGAAACCTTTTTCTTTTTATTTCTTTTTCTTTGCTTTTGTTTCAGGGTGGTGAAGGGGATGGCAGAAGTAGGAGGGATTTCTGCTTCAAAGCTCCTGACCTGAAGTTAGTATTTTAATTTATGGCGAGTGGATTTCTCACTTTATTTTTGAAAGTCGCGTGGAGTGCAGCCACAATGTAGATGCTGGGTAAATAAAAAGATATCTGAAAGAATTAACTACCCATCTCGGGGGGAGGGGCGGGGAAATACCTATCAAAAAGGGAAAAATAGCCTTACTTATACACGTAGCTGAAAGTTAACTCTTCGTTTCATGGGCTCTCATGAGCCTTGGGAGGTAGAGGTGACATGTGACAGTTGTGCACAAGTGCTTGCTCAGGCGCACACACGCATTAATTAAAGAAAGCCACTTGGTTGAGGGACTTGCACAGAGACACAGACTCTCAGCTAGTTCACCTGCCAGACCCAAGAGATGTGCTGAGCTTGCACAGGCTGACAGCAGAGCTGAGCTACGATGTCAACCAGAGGGAGGACTCACATGGGATCCCTGGCTATTCCATAAAAAGTGACGAATAAGGGAGATGCCGTCCACACTATTTACTCATTTACTGAGAGCATTTACATTACAGCCCCACGCGCTTGCATGTGCAGCGTCTGCCCCTCTGGTGTGAGCTTGCCCAAGGAATCCATAGCTCCCATGGGGAACCTCTGCCAAGAAGACTCCCAAATAGGGAGTCAAGGTGTAAGATGCATTCTGAGAGATTAAATCTGCAGATTTCACTTGGCCCAGAGCTCTATCTGCATGCCTGGTTCCTGCCAGATCTGGGTGGTGCCACTCAGAGCCCAATACCCAGAATAAGCCTGCTCCTACAGCCAACGCTGCCTGCCTTGTGGCGGGAGAACAGTGCTACACATACTTCGGGGTAACGGCCCAGGGGTCATCATGTTTCATTTCTTCTTTTCTCTTTTGTCCTTCTGGTTCCCAGAGGTAACACATAACTGGCACACATCCCAGCAGGAAGATGTGGGCTTTACCTCAACTCAACCATTTCCTTGTAGTGTCAGTTCGGGCCCATCAATAGCCAATCTGAATTCTCATTCCTTCTAGTTCGTAAGACCTCACAGAGAATAAGTAAAAGAGGACAAGATACTAGCAAATGCTGTTTTTGGCCTTTTCTTTCCTCCTTTCACTTGTTGATTTTTCTCTGCCTTGAAACTCTGACCTTGGGAGTATGTTGGGGATGGAGGGGGTGGGCAGGTGAGCAAACCCACAGTGCTGTGCGGGTAGTCCGGCTCATGCTGGGAATCCCTGAGTTCCTATGGAATCCCTTCCTCCACTGTGGGTTAGTGATGACCCAAAGCACTCTTGGGACTAGGCTCTGTTAACCACAAGAACAGAGGCCACCTCCCTCCCATCAGGGAGCCTTCTGGGTGGCCATAAGTCCTTTGTCACAAACATCAGCGCAGCTCTAGTCAAAAGCAGCATCGGTCCTCCAGTCATGAAAATCAGCAAATGGCTGGCAACTGGCAAGCAAAAGAAAACTCCCTTCCAAGAGTGCTTCTGGGGAGGCATTAAACAAAATGACACACACGAAGAGGGACAAAGTTCAGGAGAGGAGAGAGGGAGCCCAGCCCCACAGAAGCAACCTCACTGTCCCCACAGGGCAGGCTCGGGACAGAGCTCCCTACCTACTATAATGACACTTGAGACAGGAGCCGGGAAGAGCAGATCAAATCATCTGACTCCAGTCTGGTTTTCAGTTCTTCTTACTATATGGTGTATTAGCTGCTCAATAAACAGGGAACCTTATTACCAGGGCAGGGCAGAGGGACAGCTAATTAATAAATCCCTGTTTTCATGTCATCAGTATGGTGTGCACTTGGTGATTTAATCAGCCAAATTTGGAGCTCAGGGACTGGGGACAGAAGGCAGAGCATGGCAAAGGGGAAGATGGAAAGGAGGACAATTTTGTGTTTGTGAAGCGCGATGGCGCATGAAGGCTTATAAACATCTGCACACCTAGACGATGGCTTTATTTTTTACTTTTTAAAAAATTGTGTATCTGTTTTCCAGGAAGGAGTAGGAAAGAGAAATGATTTGTGTCAATCTCTGAATGCATATCCCTATATTAGATACCTTCAAATAGATATGTGCCGTGGAGTAAAATGACAAGGCAAAAAAAGGCTTTAAAGATCTAAGCTGTTTAATGGGACAGTGATGGCAGCTACAGGGGAAAGATAACAGGGATGCAAGTTAATTTCTTTGCTATACCCTTATGTGTGGACAGCAAAATGCACCCCAAAATGAGAGTCCTGGTGGAGGGAATGCCTGTCGCTCCAGGGTTACTCACCTGTTTTCTGGGCAGTGGGTGCCATATCTGAAGCACAGGCTGGGGTTTGAGCAGAGAAGGGCAAGGCTTCACCCACTACCAGGCTCAGCCAGCTGGAGAGATCTTTCCAGCCTGGTCAAGAGCCGCCAAGGGCTGGTAGGGAGACCGGGTGTGCGGGCAGTTGGTGGCAGGTGGTTTGCGCGAGAAACCTAATCAGCACCTCTGGAGCTCATTGCAGGCTGCCTGCCTCCCACTCCCAGCAGCAGGAAGGCTGCCACAGTCTCACCCACAGGTACCATCTTGGTCACTTCGTTCACAGAGCTCTGCCTGGGCTCCCCCAGGAGCCGCAGCGGCTGCTGGGAGAGTCCCAGTGTCTTTTCCAAAGTCACATCAAAATGACAAAACATCACACTGCATTCGGCTCCAGTGGATTCAAACAGAGAGAACTTTTAAGTTTCCACTGTAATTAACCCTATCCTCGTTAAGATAATTATGATCAAGCTTCCTGTCACAGTTAATATCCCAGCATCATCGCCTGTGGCTCACACTCTGCCCTCATTAGCTTATAAAAACAGCGGCACTAAACAGGCGGCCGCTGCCCTGCCTGGGCTTACACGGGGCCTCAGGCAGGATGGCAGGCCCCACACTAGGGCCACCCCTTGAACCCAATCCCTGCTGCTACTGGGTGGTCACAAACTCAGTGGCCTTCATCTTTTCCCCAACTAATAGCTCCTCATCATAATGGAGAAGAAGTAGAAGGGCCAGAACCACAGCTGGGCTGGTCAGTTTGGAGCAGAGGAGTTTCTGATTTCTACAATAGCTACTGTTCCCTGCTCTTTACCTGACAAAATCCCAGCCAGAACATTCTGCCAGAAAAACCACCAGAGGACAATTCCTGAACCCCTAGTTTAATCCCAGGGATATACACTATGCTAAGAATTGAATCTCTATTCTCTCAGCACCCAGCCTACCAGGGACATCACTACGTGGCCTAAGATGGGTAGATAGTAGTGGGGACAGTTTACCATAGACCCTATGAAAAAAGCGGGTCTTTCTTTAGAACCATGTTTTGGCCCCAAGTCCACAACCAAAGGCTGTGATGTACTTAAACCAATTAACAAAACAAAATCTCAAGCAAGACCTTTACCTATTGCCTCAACTAGAGCTATCTAAATATCCACACCCATATTTTTAACACATGAACAGGGAGGCTATGGGAATAGCAGAGGGTCTAATCCACATGAATAATACCTTCCACACTGTCCAGTTCACCGGACCGCAAGGGTCTCTTCTGAATGATTCTTTCCACCCAGCTTCCCCACCAAGGGGATGTCAATACGACCTCATACATCTGGAACCTGGATAGCTGTCTCAGCCTGGATGCAGAGACTCACCATCTCCCCACCAACTGACTGCTGCTCAGACCCAAGCCTATAAACTCTGAGGAAAAGCAGCCAATAGAATCCCAAGAGCAGGGCAGAGAGCAGAGTTCAGGGTGCTGGCAAGTGGCAGGAGGGCAATCCCTAAACTCACATTCTTAGGCCAGAAAGTCCCTCTATCTTTGCCCTGGAGCTCTATGTCTGAGGACGGGAAGAAGTGACATCAGCAAGTTTGCTCCGATATACCAGGTCTAGTTATTAAAATACCTAAGTACTGCCTTACCAGCTGGGTAAGTTATTTCAGCTTTAGGTGCCCTCTTGTTACCCTGGCCACTCCCTGGTGTCCCCCAGACATGTTACTCTGGCTACTCCCTAGTGTCCCCCAGACATCTCCCTAATCCGGCAACTAAGAGGTCAATGCCCACCACAGCACTGGGCCACTGAGGCCAGTTCTGATTGGTCAGTTCGGTTGTTAGTTTAAACATCACTCCTGAGAACACAAATAGTAACTTGTTCCTCTCTAATCCCCACCCCCACCACCACCACCAATCCAGTGCAGTGCCTGGCTCACAGCAGGTCCTTGGGAAAGGTCTGCAAATTAACTTCCCACAGAGGTCATGACCAAAGCTACAAGGACAGGTCAGACAACACAAAGCTAACTGCTGAGGAATGAAGGAAGCAAGAAGAGAATCCATGAGTTGTGATGAGACTCCTCATGTCCCAGCAAATGGTCTAGTGGCAACACAGGCCTTTTTACAAGTTGTTTACATAGCCCCATGAAAGGTAGTCTTTCTTTATGCCATAAGAC